TTGATCCCGTCTCCTTGCTGACTAGTTTTGCGATAAAGCCTTTCTTTTCTCAAAAAATGATGGCTCTTGGTGTTGGCTTCTGTGTGCCTCAGCCCATGAGCCTGTTTGCTCAAAAACTCTTTCAGTTGCCTTTATGACGAGATTGACAAGCTAATCCTAAAATTCATAAGATAGAGAATAGCCTAGCAATCTTGAAAAAGAAGAATGGAGTTGGATAATTCACACTTCCCAATTTCAAAACTAACAACAACAAAAATCAATAAACAAGACAGTGTGGTCCTTGCATAAGGATAGGCATGTAGATCAATGGAAAAGAGCTGAAAATCCAGAAATCCTTTATGGTTGATTGATTTTTGACAAGGGTATCCAGAAAATGCGAAAAGAATAGTCTTTTCAACAAATGGCTGCTGGCAGCTGAATATCCACTTTCAAAAGAATAAAGTTGGAGCTGTTCTTCACACCATATACAAAAATGAACTCAAAATGGATTATAAACTTAAGTATAAGAACTGAAACTCTAAAACTTTCAGAAGAAACATTTGAATAATTCTTTGTAATCTCTGGTTACACAATGCCTTCTTGGATACAAGATCAAAACACAAAAAACAAAAGGCCACACAATGTATGATTTCACTTATATGAAATGTCCACAGAAGGCAAATCTATAGCGGCAGTAGATTCGTGGTTGTTTAGGGCTAGACAGGTTGGGGAAATGGGGAATGACTGCCAATGTGTACGGGTTTCTTTTGGAGGTGATACAACTATTCTAAAATTGACTGCAGTAATTGTTGCACAACTCTGTGAATACACTAAAGACTATTGAATCATTGAATCATAGGCTTTAAATGGGTTAACTGTAGAGTATGCAAATTATATCTCAATAGGGCCATTTAAAAATAAGGAAAATAAAGAAATATATGTGAAGAGCAGCATCAAGGAGTAGTCAAGACCTTTATCTCAGAAGAAGACATGATTTTAAGTTCAAGTCTTCCTAACTATAGCATCTTAAGAAAATAATAATTTGAGCCTGTTTTCCTCATCTTTAAATTGCATGTAATAATTCCTTTTCAAGGAGGCTATCCTGAGTAGTGAGATCATGCATATAAAGCGTTTGCTTAACACTGAGTCTAGCTCCCAATAATATCAGCTATTAAAAGAAAAGATATGGGGCCATAGGTAGCAGGCAGGTTGATTGAGGTATTGCTGTAATTGTTACTTTAAAATTATACAAAAACTTATAAATAGGGTGCTTCCTAATAGTTAGGCTCACTTGGGGACACTTAGTAAAGAGAAAACAGGACTCTACCATAGGCCATGATAGAATCACAGAAGCTAGATTTACCCTCCTACCTAAAACAACAAGAAAACCAAACAAAATACATCAAACAATGATTTTTAAGTATTACATAACAGACAGCACAAAACAATGATTCATGACTAAACACAGACTAGCAAGGTTGAGCCTACAGTTGCATCAACTTACTGCCTGTAGGCTGCTTACAGGCTGTAGGGCAGAAAGGGTAATTCAAACTACACCCACTGGTCTCAGTGAGTTGTGGAGAAACAGAACAAAGTTCAAGGAAGCCAAGGCAGATATAATTTCTTGGGCAAAGAGAAGAGGAAGAATGGACTTAGAAACTGAGGGTTCCAGAGATCTGCTGAGGCCAAATCAGCTTAATAGTTGCTGTGGGTCCCACCAAACAAAGATTAAAGGCAAGCTTTCAAAAGATCCAAACTCATCTGCATGCCAGAACAAAGTATAGAAATACAACACCATCAATAAAACCCAGCACCCAATAATGTCTTACATCTAATCAAAAATTACCAGGCACGCAAAGAAAGAAGCATGTCTCATAATCAGGAATCTCTCATAATCTGGAGAAAAATCAATCAATAGAAATGGACCCAGAGATGATGGAATTAGCAGACAAGAATTTGAAATCCTTTTAAGTTCTAGCCAGAGCAAGAGCGAGACCTTGGGTGGTGGTATGTGCCTCTAGTCCCAGCTACTCAGGAGGCTGGAGGCAAGATGATCACTTGAGCCCCGGAGGCTGAGGTTGCTGTGAGCTAGGCTGATGCCATGGTACTCAAGCCTGGGCAACAAAGCAAGACTCTGTCTCAAAAAAAACAACAACAAAAATCCTGCTAAGTTATTATAAATATGTTCCATATGTTCAAATGGAACTTCTACAGATAAAAAACACAATATGGTGGGCAAGGAAAAAAAAAAGAAAGAAAATAGTGACTAATTCTCATATAAATTGTATTTAATTTTGACCAAAGTACATTACTCAAACATTAATTTTTAATTCCACATGTTAATATGCCATCAGACACGCATGTGAATCGTGCAGTTACTGCATACACGTGTCTCAAATTCAAGGGAGAGATTGGGCTCAGAGATATGGAAACATCATAAAGATGGTAGAAAAGTGACTGAAGTTTGGAAGCTTCGGGCTTTAAGGGTCTTCAGGGAAGAACAATTTGTGATCTAATGATGAGGTTATCATTTTCCTCAGTCTCTTACCCAGAGGGGCCTTCCTATCACTGTGGTTTTTCTCACACTATTTGCTTCACCAGGATTATCCACTTTCTTTCTTTTGCTTGTGCAGCGTCTATCTTGCATGGCTACTGTGAGCATTATAGTGTAAGCTATATAAATACCTAGTGAGCTGTCCATAAATGTTAGCTGTATCTTAGAGGATCTTGTTTCTCAGAAATAATGGGGTTTCATTTATGAATGTTCATAGTACCTTTATTCATAATAGCCTCAAGCTAGATGCAAACCAAATGTCCACTCTTAAATGAACAAATAAACTGTTGAACATTCATACAATGGAATGTTAGCAATACAAAGAAAGGAACTACTGATGTATTTAACAGTTTGCATGAATCTCATAAGCAGAATGCTGCTTGAATAAAGTAATATGCAAAATAATACAAGCTGTAAGATTCCATTTATATGAAATACTGAAAGGCAAATCTAAAGTTTAGTGGCAGACAGCAAATCCAGGATTGCAGGAGGCCTGGACTGGGACACAGATTGACCAGGAAGGGGCACGGGAAACTTTGGGGGGTTATGAAAATCAGTCTTGATTGCAGTGATCATTACAGGGGTATGCAAATTTGTCAAAACTCACTGAAATATACACTTAAAGTGGGTTGGGTTCATTTTATTGCATATCACTAATGGGGAAATACTGCATATCAGAGTCAGCTCTTTTGGGTTATGTGATGTTTAACTTGTCCTCTTCAAAATTCTCTCTCCCGTGTTACTTTACAACCCTAAGTAGAGCTCTACTTTTTATCCCAAGCTATCTCAAGGGGAGTCATATGAGATTTTTTTTTTAACCTAATTAAACAATGAAATAGGATCACATTTTCCTTTGACTTACTACTATTTGGGCAGGCTGACTGTTTTATGCTGGTCTTCCTAGGATTTTAACGATTTTTCTTTTTTCTTCTTTTTTCTCCCACTTAGGTTCGGATTATACTTTAATTAGTGGCACTCTGGTTTGATTACAGCTTTGAGGCTTTCACTGCTATTCACTTTCTTCCAAGTCTGGCTTTGGTTGTGCTGCTTTTTGAATCTCACCAAATGTTCTCTTTTAAAACTTGTGTTCCGGAGTAATTCCTTCAAAAAGAATGAATATATGCGGGTTTTATCCTTATGTCACAGGAATCCACTTTGCCAGGAGAAAGGAATCTAGAGGTCATAGTCTTTGTGTTCCATTTGCTTTTTGTTCCAGTGGCTTCTTAACCCTCTCAAAGCCAGATGACTTTTCTTTCTTGCCTCCCCAAATCTGATTTCTACTAACACTGAATAGGGGAGGATAGTAAAGTATGTTTAATATATAAAGTTGTAGTTCTTTTTTTTTTTTTTTTTTAGACAGAGTCTCACTCGGTAACCCTTGGCAGAGTACCGTGGGGTCTTAGCTTACAGCAAACTCAGACTCTTGGGTTCAAGTGCTCCTCTTGCCTCAGCCTCCCAAGTAGTGGGACTACAGGTGCCCACCACAATGCCCAACTATTTTTTAGAGATGAGATCTTACTCTGGCTCAGGCTGGTCTCCAACCTGTGAGCTCAGGCAATCTACCTGCTTCTGCCTCACAAGTGTTGGGATTACAGGCGTGAGCCACTGCACCTGGCCAAAGCTATAGTTCTTTAGTTAAACACACTACCACAGTCTCCATTAAACCTCAAAATCTTTTGTCGTAGTTGTTGTTGCTGTTGTTTAAAGAAGACTGAGCAGTGTTTGCAAGTAATTTAAGTTCATAAATTTCACTGACAATTTCAGTTTTGACTAATTCTTTAACAATATATAGCACATGGAACAATGAACGTGTTGATTCTAGTGTTACATAAAGTACCATATATTTCAAAACTTCTAAGGTGCCTAGTTTAACATTGTGAAATCTGCATGTACCTTATAGTTAGCCTCGTGGCCAACACACGCTCCTTGTGGATCATGTTTTATCCCTGGTAACAAGACTAGCTAGCTGCAACTCTCAATGCTGCCTTGAGAATACAAGCCCTGGCTACTGTCTGGGAACATTTCATCAACACTCCTGGTAAGGTTAGGAGTACCAACACCAAGACTTGCAGAAAGGGTTGTCAGCATCTTAGAAGAAAAATGCTATGGAAAATAGTGGAGCTCTCCATGAAGAAATGCTGCATCCCTTAATGTTTTCACGCCACAGAGGTTGACATCAGTAAAGAAACATACCAATGCTCAGAATTCAAATGTGGTTGAGAAGACTGGATTTTAAATGTGAAGAAGTTCTAGGATTATTTTAAACAATTAGATTAGCCTATTTTCCTTTTTTGTATGTGTAGAAGAGTGAAATGCAGTAAAAATCTATAAAAAATTTTAAAGGAATCCTTTCAATAAGAATGAAATAAAAATTCTAGGTGTCAAGAAGTATTTTACCATAGTTTAATTGGTACGTGAAATAATGTTGTATCCTTATCTTTTGGAACTTAGATTTAATGAAATTCCAAAGCAAATAATGAGAAAAAACCCAAGTATCTTCCTCATGGGGGCTTGATGTGCAATGGCTGCAAACAGCAGCCTTCTTGGTAGTGTATGCAGCCTGTTGTCTGTATAGGTTCCTCTAAGGGTCCTTGGAGACATTCCTTTCTGATACATGTTCATGTGTTAGACCTTGTGCTGTCCCCAGTCTAGGTCCAGACAGGTATGCGTGGTGTCTTTAGAAAACCCCAGGGCACTGTGGCCTGGGTTCACATTGGCCAAGTCATCATATCCATCCACACCAAACTACAGAACAAGGAGCATGTGACTGAGGCCCTACACAGGGCCAAGTTCAAGTTCCCTGGCGACCAGAAGATTCACATCTCCACATCTCCAAGAAATAGGTTTACCAAGTTTAACTCAGGTGAATTTGAAGACATGGTGGCTGAGAAGCAGCTCATCCCAGATGGCTGTGAGGCCAAATACATCCCCATTATGCCCCCCTGGACAAGTGACAGGCTCTGGACTCATGAGGACTTACTGTGTTGCCTATCATGTGTGCTATAAATAATGGCATATTACAACAATTGCAAATCACATTTCCAATCTTTGCTGTAACAGCTTTGTTGAGCTATACTTCACATACCATAAAATTTATTTATTTAAAGTCCAATGGTGTTTTAGTATATTCATAGAGTTGTACAACTGTCACCACAATCAATTTTAGAACATTTTTATTACTTCACAAAAGAAACTTTGTACTCTTTGGCTCTCATTTTCCAATCCCCCTTCCTCCCACTGCAATCACAATCTATTTTCTATCTCTAAAAGAGTGTCTATTCTGGACATTTCATATAAATTAATTCATATAATACATAGTCTTTTGTGCCTGGATTCTTTCACTGAGCAATAATGTTTTCAAGGTCCGTCCATATTGTTGCATGTATTAGTACTTTATTTCTTTGTATGGCTAAATAATATTCCATTATATGAACATACCACATCTTGTTCATTTGGGTTGTTTACATCTTTTGACTACTATAAATAACGCTACTGTGAACATTGGGGGGACATAATTTTCTGTTCTCTTGGTTATTTATCTAGGAATAGACATGCTGGATCATATGACGATTCTACATTTAAGTGTTTGAGAAACTGCTAGATAGTTTTCCAAAGTAGTTGCACCCTTTCACATTCCTACCATCAGTCTATGAGGGGTCTGATTTCTTCACATCCTAGTCAGTGCTTGCTATTACCTGACTTTTTAACGATAGCCATCCTACTGGGTGTAAAGTGGTATATCACTGTAGTTTGATTTGCGTTTCTTTGGCGGCTCATGATGTTGAACATCTTTTCAGGGGCTTATTGGCAATTTGTATGTCCTCTTTGGGGAAACGTCTATTTAGATCCTTTGTCCATTCCAAAATTGGTATTTTTTAATAACTGTGCTGTAAATATTCCCATTCTGCAGGTTGTCTTTCACTTTTATGATAGTATCTCTTGAAGCATAAACCGTAACATTTTTGAAGACGGCCAATTTATCTATTTTTTTTTTCTTTTGCGGCTTGTGCTTTTGGTGTCACATACAAGAATCCATGGCCAAATTCAAGTTCACAAAGATTGAGCTCCATGTTTTCTTCTAAGAGTTTAATAGTATTAGCTTTTACATTTAAGTTTTTGATCTATTTCAGTTAATTTTTGCATATGATGAGATGAACTTCATTCTTTTTTAAATTTCAGATTAATATGAGGTTACACACAATTAGGTTACATTGTTTGCGTTTGTTAGGTAAAGTCTCTGTTGTAGTCGTACCCCCTACCCAGGAAGTGCCATGTACCCTTACATTGGGCCTGTTAGGTGAGAGTACACCCAACCCCCACCCTTCTCCTCTCTCCCCCCTTTCCCCAACTTGTATTTAATTGATGTTTTCCCTTGTGTGGGGGTGTATTTGTTCACCAGCTTCATTCTTTTACACATTGACCATGTTGTTATCCCAGCACCATTTGTTAAAAGACTATTTTTTCCCTACTTCATCCTTGATCTTGGCATCTCACCTTGGCACCTTTGTGGAAAATCAATTGGCCATGGATATATGGGTTAATTTCTACATTCTCAATTCTATTCCACTGATCTATTTGTCTATCCTTATGCTGGTACCACACTACACTGTCTCAATTACTATTGCTTTGGACTATGCTTTGAAATTGGGAAGTATGGACCTTCCACCTTTTTCTTTTTTCCAGGATTGTTTTGACTATTCTGAGTCCCTAGAGTTTTTACATAAATTTTGGGATCAGCTTGTCAATTCTGCAAACAAACAAACAGCAGCTAGAATTCTAGGAAGAACTGTATTGATTCTGAAGATCAATGCGGGGGGCGGGTATTGCCATCTTAACAATATTAAGTGTTCCTATCTGTGAACTTGTAATATTTTTCCACATTTTTCCAATCACACTTAATGTATTCGAGAAATAATGTGATGCAGATGTATCACTGGGAAAATAGAAATGATATTCCTTGATTATAAAATTAGATGATTTTGATTTTATTTTTATATATTTTCCAAGTTTTCAACAATAAAAATATCTTTTATCTAAATCTAAAGAAGTTATTCCTAAAGGAAAATATTCATATTCTTTAATAAAAGATACACAAAAATATTTCATAAGGCATGGTATATGTTTGGAAATGAAAATGCTTGAAAGATTTTTGAATGTGCGTGAAATACCACTGTTCATTCTTGGTCATTTTTCATCAGAATTTACTGATTGTGTGCTACACAGAAGGTACTGGGTGAGGTACTGGGTGTACCGTTTTAACAAAAAGAGACATGATTCCTGGACTAATGAACCTACTTTTAGTAGAAAAATGGCAATAAATATGCAAAGTAGCAAATAGAAATGAAATTATACGTTGTAAAGAGTGCTTTGAAAGAAAGCAAACTGTACTATGATGGAGAATAATGGCAGGATCCAGAGAACCTAGTTTGATTTAGTGGTCAGGGAAGCTCTCTCTAAGGTTTGAAGTGAGACTTGGGGACTAGATAACAACATAAATGTTGGTTTTTGACATCCATCAAAGATATGTTCAACATTAAGTAGTTTATATAAGTGTTGTCTTTAGATATCTTTCCAAGGTGTGTTCAACATTAAGTAGTTTCTTGCACTGAAGGGTAAAACAAAGAACTTTAAAATTCCAAGGGGAAAATTATGCCAACAAGTAAGATAACCTCCACAACCTCCTATAGCACAATATGCAAGGGTCCCAAAAATTCTATACCATAAAATACAGGGTTAAGTCATAAGGCTGATGAAATGCATACCAGGAAGAACCTGGTATAGTCCCACTGTGCAGCCTAATACTGCCCTGCTCCAGCTGCCACTGGACACTATCTGGTAGTCTTCCGCTCTACCTTAACTATTGACGGGCATGATTCCAGATCTTTTTGACAGCCTGGGAGTTACTTGGCAGAAGCAGCAATTCCAGAAATCTCCAGTTAGCTGATGCCTTTTTTGTCAGCCTGATGTGGGAGACTGGGTGAAGAGAACACTGAAGGGACAAAGTTCCACCCTTTACCCCCCTGGTGTTTCCCTTCACCAATCAGCCTCTCTGCCACTAACTCTCCCTCCAAACTTAAGATTTCTGCCCACTCTTATTTCAGAATGAAGGTGAGGCAGAGAGCTAAGGCCAATACAGTCAAATGTAGGTTATCATGGGGATCTCATTACTCATGGTGATTGCTGCTTGCCCTCTTAATATCTATTTCCTGCTCTCAATAACGGAACCCAGATTTTTGTTTAGGAGGCAGTGTACCTAGAAGAATTACATGCCCCCTCAGATGCTACTGCATGTGGGTATGGTTAGGTGATGTCGTTTGACATAATGAAGGGATTTGAGAAAGCTCTGCTTTAATGATACAGGCACCACTCACTTCTCTTCTCTAGACCTTGAGGATGAGGCATGGAGATAGAGCAATCACCTTTAGAGTATGAGATAACCAGGAGGATGGATGCTTTATGTGAAGAATGGTGATGAGGAAAGGTAGAAGAAAGCTGGGCTTTGACAACATGGTAGAGCTGTTGCCCAGCCTGGATAGCCAACCTCCAGACTTCTACTAGGTGACCAAGCCAACCCTTACTTGACTGTGGTTCGGTTTCTGTGATGAGAAACAGCTGACTGAAATGCTAACGGATACAACTGTCTACCATGAGCATAAACTTAACATCTTTTGAAGAATCTGAAATGTTTAAAGTTTTAATATAGCAAGTCCAACTTTCACGTTTAATGAAAAATCACAACCCTCCAAATCCTATCACTCACTGCAGAGTGGTAAGTAAAGGTTATTAAACAGAGGCAGTGTAGAAAGCAGCTTCAGAGAGGGAGTAATTTAATGACCCATATCTTCATTAACCCCATTCCTCAAGCCATACCAAATAAACATACCTTCTAGGTAAAAAATGTGCTTGCTATGTAAACACACTTCCAGACAAGTTCCTCAGTCTTGCAAGAAACTCCCAAACTCCTCCTGCATGGAAATTTGGCCACAGGATCATTTCCAGGGCAACTCCACTCACAGTTAAAGTTATAGTTTAGGGTTGCAGCTTTCAAGCAGACATTAAAATAATGTGGCTCAAGGAATGTTTACAGTTTTTTCCTTTTTTTCCCTAGCCAATTTCTTCTTCTTCTTCTTCTTTTTTTTTCTGAGACAGCATCTTACCACATGCTGTGGCATCACAGCTCACAGAAACTCAAACTCGGGCTCCAGCGAATCTCCTGCCTCAGCCTCCCAAGTAGCCAGGACTACAGGTGCCTGCCACAACGCTCGGCCATTTTCTGTCCCAGTTGTCATTGTGGTTTAGCTGGCCCAGGCTGGGCTCACACCTGCCAGCCTCGTATATGGCTGATGCCATAACCACTGCGCCACTGGTGCCAATTTCAACTCTAACCCCAAACCCCTTCTTTATTGCCACCCTCTTACATACAATGCCTCACCAAAACATAGTCTTCAAATCACATCTACAGATCTATCCTCTAAACTAGATCACTGAAAATAATATGAGCATTTATCCAGAAAGTACAGATGAGGTCAAGCAATAGACTAATAGGCCAGACTAGCATCAAGGAGGACAGAATGCGACTAGTTTTCTATACAACTCGTCCCTG